ATGATCAATCATTGCGTATAGGTTATGATTCATATGGGATTAGTTTCTATAGTATTGCATATGCGGTATTAAATCTTCTTCATCCTATATTTTCAAACGTTTATTGCGTTTATTGCGTTTTAATTAGTCAATAACTTGACTCACGTTATATCACGAATATGAATATAAGTAAAATTGTAGATACATTTTATATTTGTCGATTATTTGTTTGAATGTTATAGTTATGTTGCAAATCAAATCGACTCTAAATCAAATGGCGTGTTTGATTAACAAACCACGGTTAAGATTGACTTTGCATTTTGGCTTTATCTCTCAGTCTTTCTCAATCGCGTGAAAGAAGTTTTATATATCAGCGATTCATTAAAAGTTTATCCCTATTCGAGTCTCATCCAATGCGTTTTAGTTTTTGACTTAATATCTCTCGTAATAAATGCGGATATGGAATGAATAGCTGCTTTGTGCAAGCATTATTTCCTTTCCTTTTTTCACGTTGTTTATTTCCGACGCTATTCTGACGATAATAAAGTACATCGTATATTATTAAATATGGAAGTCCATGCAAAGTGATGTGCGATTGTCTCATTCTGATTATCAGTTCGCGCGCGAGTGTTAATTAACCTAGTTTTCGCAAGTGTAACGACTTCAGTGAGGAAATCTGAGAGGAGGAGGAGGTCTGGGAGACATCGAGCAACGGCGGAGCAACTATAAGGTGAATATCTTATTACTTGTATGTCGTTTATTAGATAAAATCCTTAATTCCTATTTATCTTAATCACTCATTGAAATGATTTATATAATACCAAATGTAATAATATCAAATTTGTTTTTACATTTTTGTAAATGTGTACTTGAGATATTTTTTGAAAATAATATAATTATCATTTTATTTTATTAAGTGTTGTATTTGAAAAAGAAGTAAAAACTCAATAATTATTTTTAAAATTTATTAATTATTTTGAACGAAAATATAATATAGAATTTTATATCTGTATGTTACAGATCATCGTAGTTACACAACTCCGCTGCTGCGCATCGGTCGGTGAGTCACGAATAACGTTTTATTTTAACCTGAGATAAAAAATCTGTAAATATTGCGAACAAATATAATTTCATTGGTTCATTGCCTTGAAAACAAATGGGCTAGAATCAATTAATGTAAATAATCCTGGAGCGTGTATAGTCATCTATCAAGTGATTGTTTACATGAGACCGCGATTCTCTTTGATTATTATCAATTTTTTCTGAGAGTTTATCTAATGTTATGAAGAATTTATTAGCATATTTCATAAAAAGAATGTTGACAAAATATGTGAGTATTGTAAACAAGTATTTTTTATTATTTTTGCTAAGTATAGTCAAAGCTTGCTATCGTTTGATAATAAAAGAATAGCAAACAAGAATGATTATATAACACATTTAATATTTCATATTAAATGATATATGAGGAGAAAGTTTCTTCATAAAATATATGCAATATACAGGAATTAAATAATTTACGTTTAAATTAACATTTGTTATTAAACAAGGAATACATTTTTTACTAATTATTGATTTAATAGACTTCTATACACGCAATATATATTTAAAAAAAATAATAAAATTTATAGAAAATAAATTATTTGATTGCTATAGCATGTAATATATGCTTGTGAAAAAATAAAAGACAAATTAAATAAATAATAAATATCGATATTTCCTAAACTATGTTACTAAGATATGTAAACTTTAGATCGGTGCGTATATAATTATGGATATGAATATGAAAAATTTGTGCCGATTTGATTATTAAGAAATAATATTTATGTATTAAAATTTTCGATGCACATTAATTTTTTAATATGCTGTTTAAAAATTATCATTCGACAATTTTAGGATTTTCTATATGTGTATCGTGATCTTTTATTTAAATCGGAATTTAGAATGAATTATATTACAATAAAGTAACTATATGAGTTAGGGGGAGAAGAGCTTTTAATTGTTCTTCAAAAATTGTTCTTACCTCGTGTACGACTGTGTCCTCGGGAACTGGCGCTCCATCTGAAACAAAGAACAGGTCTTCGTGAGAAAGGTTGCATCGTATTGGCGTATGTGCGACATATATGCAACATGGTTAAATCGCGGGTTAAATCGATATTTATGATCCAGTTATATACTGTCGGCAAAGAGCGAGATATTTCTCAAGAGAAAAACACGCAGTGAAGAAGCGAGTTTAATGTAATATTGGAAATCGGTAAAATACGCGAATCGTTAGTTGCGATCTATTAATGATCAGCTTTGATAGCCCACATAGATTATCGAATTGGCTATGTATGCAGCATCGATTGCATATTGCGATTTTCAAAGAACTTTGTGGAACACCTTGAGAACGCCGCATAGATTTATCATTTCAGTATTTATAGAAACATATAACACACAGAATACATCATTAAAATCCATAAAAGATTATTTATGCTTTCGTTTTTTCTATAATTAAGAAGTTTTTTTGAATTTTCTATAATATTAATTTTTTTTAAATAAATTATTTTATAATATTTGTATTATGATGCAATGCTTTAAGTTAATTCTATTTTATAAACTGAATCTTCTGATCTTCATAAAATAATACATTTTAGAACATAACGCGAAAAGAATACATTATCAAGAATACTCGAATGTAAATTGGAATTAAAAATTATCTTATCCGCGGCTTGTTTGTCCTCGAAACAAATTCGGTCGTTCCCGTAGATTTTTATAGATATGAATGTTAAACGTTACATTAAACTCACGTGTCTTCTTCAACTTTTATTGGTCGCATAAAAGTCGAAATTCGTTTAAAACTACGTTACACAAAAATGGAAGGGAAAAAAAAATGATCGCGCGTTGTTCCGGGGCCAGATCAGTGTCAGGCTGTTATTAATTAACTCGCGGACATCGGACTTCCTTAATCAGTTCGTACCTTACCGACGGATAATCTTGCCGGGTTTCTTTCATCCTCAGTCGAGAGAAAGTCAATTACGTCGATGACAAGTCAACGCTTACCGAGGGTTTAGTGCGTCTCTAGAGATCCATGCGCGGAACTTGTATAAAGTTAAGAATCATTCCCTCGGCTCCGCTTGTCAATCGGTGTCTAAGATACCGGACTGACAATATTTCCGACGTTTCTGTCTTTTTTTTTATCGTTTGTCACAAATCTCGGGAGTGCGTTCGCTACAGACAGTTAACGTTATAAGCGAATTGTACCAATGTAATCGTTTTTAATGAGATATACGATATTTACGTAATGTCGCAGAACGTAACGGTCGCGAGAAAATCGCCTGTAACGCATTTCTGATTAATTCTGCGAATGCGAGTGACTGCCCAAACTTTTCTTTTTTCTTTCATACCACATCAATTTATTGAGTCATGCTTGCCGTGCAATCCAATTTTTGGATCGTATCGAAAGGGATTAGCCCAATGGACTTGTTAAATTGTGGTCTGTCGGCGGTTTCACCACGCCAATTACGACTCGCCGCAATGTAATGAGGCACCAGCAGGCAATTTGTTGGTGTGATTCCGTGGGATTCTTGTAATTTATCAATGCTATATATCACGAATCTTGGCCACCTTCCGCTTAGATTGTAAAAAAAATATGTCATATATATATAAATTTCTAATATAATATTATTAAACAGATTTTTTATAACATTAATGTAGGTTTTTAATTTATATAATAGGTCTTTAATTTATAATTGACTCGTTAATAAAACAATGATGAATATCTAAAAAATAAAAATCGGATTTTATTTTAATTAAATATTTACATGTTTTTAATTAGCACAGAAAATTTGATATTAATTATAATAAAGTTAATGCATATTTCATGTTATTATTTATTGGATGCAAAACATATTATTTCGTGCGATTGTGAAATTTGTGAAATAGCAAGGAACAATTGAAAGTAATTAAATATATTTAGAAGATAAAAGTATAAAAAATATATACTAAGCAGCAATAGGATATTTTGATATACGCCGGTTCTTTCAAGTTAGATCGAGCATGAGAATATCAATTAATTACTGCTAATATAGTCTTTCATATTCATACTCGGTTCTGTTTGCTACATTTATTATCAGAAGGACTCTGCATTGAGTTCAGCAAGGAAGCGTTGCACGATGACACGGCAATCGGTCTTCCTTAAACACGCATGACGTACTTTACTTTCTAGCGACGAACTCCAGGCGCTTTCTGCATAATAGAACAATCAAGTCCGGGTGACGAAAGACACGCAGACTCCGTGTTTCGTACGTAATGTAATTCTTGAGTAATAGTTCAGTCTGCCTGGCCGTTACTTTCGACAAAACCGGCGCGAATTGTTGGATTCGAGAAAACTATATATATCTACTTCAAATATATTTCAAATATACTTCAAATATACTTCAAATATATATTTGCGAGTAGACACAATATGAGTTTGATTTGTTTATGTACGTGTAACATCTATTAATTCTTTATGAAAAAATTAATATAGTTCGTAACTTACATATATAGTTAAAGACTATATTTAAAAATATAATCAAAAATTAATACAGTTAATAAATTTGTTGTTGTAATAATTTTATATATATATATATATATATATATATATATATAT